ATATTTTCAATTTTCTAAGCAAAATTTATTTTAAGTTGTATTTTCTATACAAATAAGCTATGGTGGAATGTAATGAGGTTTACATTGATTATTTTTAAAAAATATCGGTTTTAAACCTTTTTTTGCATGATAAGAGTACTCCCGTGTCAAGGAGTGTTTAAGCTTATGTTAAATAAATATCTAATTTAACGAAAGCAGAAATGTAAAACTTTTTCTTTCATAATTGTAATGTTTAGGAGCCACTAAAATGCTACAAAAGCGTTTTTTTTTACACCCCCTTTCCTCTTGCCAGCAAAAAAAAAGTTAATTCCAAAACTCTTTCCAAGCTTACGTAAGAAAGTCTCAACAGCCCCTCTTGTTTTTCAAACTTAGCCTTTTACTGTTATAGTCTAATTTTTGGAAATTTAGAATTGAATTCATATAAACTATGCAGTTTTGCATAATTTTTTTTTCATTTTTTATAAAATTTTGAATCTTTTCTGAATTAATATTTTTCTACCTTTTTCGTTCCATGAATTTGACTTTATTCCAAATTTGTAAAAAGCGTATTTTTTCCAGATTTTTAATTACATATTTTCTTTTATTTAAAAAAAGAAAATTCGAAAAAGAGCATCTTAGTGTCTTGCGTAAGCATTGCTCATACCCCTCCTCTCTCTTGTCATCGAAAATATGTTACAACGCCCTTTCTCTTTCGGGTGCTTACGTAAAATTTGAACTGCCTTTTTTGTAATGGCATCCGAAGAAAATCGCAGGCTTTTGCAGCAGCAACCAGATTAGTGGAAATCAAAATACTTTTTCAACCTTTACTATATTAATAATTTATTTCACAATTATCTAATAAAAATGTAATATTCATTTATTTGTAAATTGTTTTATTTCGGAGAGCTATTGTTGCTTATAAAACAACTGTATTCATTCTAAGAAGTGTGTCACGTGCCATAAATTGCTTTCCAAATTCAAATTTTGAAAGGGCATAAACTAAAGTATACTATTTAAAAAAAAAAAAAAAAAAAAAAAAAAAAAAAAAAAAAAAAAAAAACCTAGATTTTAAAGCTATGTTAGCCTAATTTACTAAAATGTCAACTACATTGACTCACTCCTTCTTTTGTTAAATTCCACTTCTTGCATGATACTATAGCTCACAAATTGATGGTAAATTAGTTCAAACATATCAGGATTGCACCACGTTTAAATAGTAGAACATTCCAGCATTTTGATTCGAGGTGAAGCAACTTTGAACAAAATGCTTTAAGTTATTTTTAGAATTTTTAATATATGTTAGTTTACACCTTTTAAAAATCCAAATTTTACCAAATACCAAATTTATAATTGATGCAAAAGGTAACAATTATCTGCGCTGAATTAATGTGAAGTATGTGATGTCATTAATTACTCTGCATAATGTAATTGATACCGTTCATAATAATTATAATAAAAATAATGACTGATTAAAAGTAAAAATGAATATTGAGGATGATCGTAAATCTTTTTTCTATTTTATGCCCCATACAATGGTTCCCTATGGTGAAAAACTTGGAAAATCTTCTAGTGGTATCTAAATAAATTATATATTCAAATTCAGTGGTCTCAAAATCAATAAAAGAAATCAGGATTCTAATGAATATTTGATGTACATTTAGTAAAATCCCCTTGAGCGATCATGCCTGAATTATCTATATCAATTATCTCCGAATGCATTATTGCTATAACATCTAATTTTTAAGAAATCGTAAGCTTTTCTTGTAATGATTACAATGGCATGCAATTTTCAAAAAAAAATTCTTAAAAGTTATCATTAACATACATGATTACTGTAATATTGAAATTAAATGTCTTAAAATAATCTCAGTAGTATGCATGATTACTATAAGATATGATTTTCCAAAACAAAAAGAAAAAGAAGAAAAAAAACCCTTAAAAATTTTTATTAATATGAATGATGATTACTGTAATATCGAAATTAAAACAAGTCTAAAAAATTCCAGTAATATGCATGATTATTATAACATGTGATTTTCAAAGTACTTTAAAAATTTTTATCAATAAACAAGATTACTGTAAAATAGAAATTAAAACAAGTTTTAATAAATCCCAGTAATATGCATGATCACTATAACATATTATTAAAAAAAAAATCTAAAAAGTTTTTGTTAATATGCATGATGATTACTGTAATATCGAAATTAAAACAAATTTTAAAAAATTGCAGTAATATTCATGATTACTATAAAATATGATTTTCAAAATATCTTAAAAGTTTTACATGATTACTATAAAATCGAAATTAAAACAAGTCTTAAAATATCCTCGTAATATGCATGATATGATAACAAAATTTAAAAAAAAAAAAAAAAAAAAAAAAAAAAAAAAAAAAACTAAAAAGCTTTTATTAATATTCATGATGATTACTATAATATCGAAATTAAAACAAGTCTTAAAAAATCCCAGTACTATGCATGATTAATATAACATGTAATTTTCAACAAAAATTCTTAAAATTTTTCATTAATACACGCGATTACTATAATACCAAAATCAAAGCAAGTCTTAAAATATCCCAGTAGTATACATAATTACTATAACATCGAATTTATATTTCTAATTTAAGAAGCTAATTCTAATATATAATATGGATGCTTTTTGTTTGAGGGCAATCAAAACACCTGCAATGATCTATCTAAGCCATTGGGATAAAATGGTCAATAAAATGGGGAAAAATGAAAAGTATAAAATCTACCATCGCCCTTTTCTCGCACGATACATCCATTTTAGTACGTAATCCACGTTTGACACGGAACATTTTTTAGAAAAGCAGAGCTGATAAAATTGTTATTGTAGGAAATAGGAAATTTTTTTTAGCTTGAATCGTAAGACTTATAAAATATGAAGTAAATCTGGCTTTAGCAGATCTTCGCGAAATATTGTAGAATAAATGGAAATGTTTATAGTATTTTTGGTTACAATATTTCTTAAAATGTGTTTAACCTTGAGAGTGTAGTTCCATAGCAATAAAATAGAAACTCTTTCAATAATTATGTCTTTGTTATCTTTTTGAATTATGCATGGTGAAAATTTTTTGGTAAAATTACTGTACTGTGTGATAATGACATTTCAGATAAGAAAAACCATAATTCTGATTACTAAACTAAAATATATGGTATTTGAACCATTCATTAGGTAATTTTTCCGTTCATACGAAAAAGGGAAATAACCAGAACTTCTGATTTTCAAAATTATAGTTCTTATATTCCCACACATACAATAGAAAAATACAAAACTAAAAAGTAAATTTAATCGTAGAAATGTTTTTAATGACATACTCTACAATATCACAATAAATTTAATGAATTTCACTACAGTTACCAAAGTTTAACTCTTATTATAAAATTATATTTTATTGTTAACTTTACCAAAATCATTACCAAAGCGGTTCGGTAAAAATTACCGAGCTGTTTGGTGTTCCTACAGTGCCAGAATTATAGGTAAATTTTACCATATTCTGGTAGTTTTAACTATACTTATTTTCTAAGTGTGTACAGCAATAATTCTATAAACAGAATAAAAATGTTAAAAAATTTTATTCAAAAAGCGCTTTGATATGTATCATCTTATTATTGAAATCTATGCAAAATTATGAAACTTTTTTTCCAAAAAAGTTTTAACATATTTTTCTTGGTTGATAAACAAAACTATGGTGATGATAATTACAATAACCGATATGAATGTGAGTAACGAATATAGAAATAAAATTTCCTTAATCTCGATACCGCATTTTCAAATTCGATATTGTTTCCTACTTATCTGCAGCATGTTTGGGATTTAAATATAAATGTTTAATAATTTATAACAACTTTGAAATAAATAAATTAAATTGTTCAAGTTCAATATTTTATGCAATATATATATATATATANTTTTAGTGAGATATATATATATATCATAATCTGTTAGAGTGCAAAATAAAAACTGTAGCATATTTGGGTTAAAAAAATATAAATGTTTAATAACTTATAACATCATTAAAACAAAAGAATAGTTTAAGTACCTTAAACGATATATTTATTTTCATATAACCTTTTTAAGTGCAAAAATGAGTGCAATCCAAAAAGGATAATTAGGGTATAACTATTTTGTTTCTTCGATATTGGATACTCAGTGTCATGACACTGAGTATCCAATAACTGAGTATCCAAAGAAATATTAAATAATCTTTAGAATTCATTAGAAATGTGCCTTAAAAAAGTAATGCCTATTTGATTCAAAATGATTTATTTGAGAGTTCTGTATACACTGTTTTTACAATCTAAGATAATTGTATTATACATGATATATGTACATAATACTTCAGTATTCTAACGAAACAATTATAAATTAAACAATAATCATAAGAATAATTTAAACAAAAACAATTTTCACAGTTTAAACAACGGGCTAAGCCTTATGAACACAAACATATAAAAAATAAAAAACATACAAGCTCGAATCAAATTTTTTTAATTTTAAACAATGACCAAGTATTTTTAGTTATTAATTACCGTAACAGAATCGACAAAGGCAGTTTATAAATGTAAATAAATAATAATGAAACAAACAGCATCTATATACAAAATAAACATTCGTTCGGAATTTGATACTTAAGATCACTTTTTTGGTTTTTTAGAAATTTATAGTGGTATAAGAATAAAAAAGGAATACTAATTGTTTAGGTTTGATAAGTTTATTTAAAAAAACACACACATTTTTTCTGAATTTCAAATGAAAAGTAAAAAACGTGTGCTACATAAAGCATGTTATTTAAAAAAGATGAAAGATTCATTAAGATAAAAATCGATATTCTCTTCTGACTTATAGAAATTTTTTTGAGGGGAAAAAAAAACTTTAAAAACTCGTCATTTTAATTGTACTTAGAAATATTTTGAGATATTAAAATGTTTCATTCGTCTAGTTTTTATTATACACATTACGATTTAAGTTAATTTTTAAAGCAATTTACCCATACCTATAAAGTGTTAAGAAAAAAAAATCTTATACAGTAAACCTATAACATTTTATTTTTAAAATACATTGTTATAACTCTATTAAGTGATTCACTCATTTGTTAACTTGTAAATTAAAGGAGTACTAGGACTAGAAAACTCTTTGACTTATTATTTCTCAAGAGATCATTAATAATCTTTTGAATATATTGAAAAGAATAAATACCAAATAAGTATTGGAATCATAAAATCAATTCACAAATATGCACTGAACCAGCTCAGTGCTCAGAGCAAATTTTATATTGATTTTGTTCGTTGTTCATGCAGGAACTTTAATCTATTTCTTCTTTTTTTTTAAACAGCGAATGGCGAAAATTATGCATTTAGCACAGTTCATGGCTTTGCTGTAAAAATAGAAACACGTTTTGTCTAATACCTTAGCACTTCTTCATGGATTATTCTGTTATATAGTTTTGAAACTGAATTATGTTTAGGAATTCATAGAACCTTTGAGCATCGTTCGTTTCATAATTCAGAACTACTGTTAGAATAGTCAGAAAATGCAACCTTTAACCTAATCACCGGTATGACTTCACAAAATATCTTTAGTTGATGATAAAATGTTTGCAACAATTGTCTCAATATAGTTTTAGTTTCATCAATCCAACAAGCTATGTCCTTCAAATATGCAATAGCAAGTTCCAAATTTAGTCTTATCTTGCTGACATTTAAAGTATGTGTCCCATCCCTGCTGTTAAATTTCAACTAGATAGATAATTTTTTTATTGAAAGTTTGATTTATATTGATCGATTGCTATTGATTTCGGGAAAACTATAGCTTCAGGAACATCTTCCATTTTATTGAAACTAAAACCTGGAAGTGAGCATGGATGACGGTGTAGCTGAGGGAGAACTTAGAAGTGGGGAAGTTCCCGGTTTGTAATAGCATGTTCCACAAAATGACGGGCAAACTCCGGAGGTGGAAGTTGGTGGTGCATAAAGAGATCCTAATGAATTAGCCAATGCCATACACCTATAAAAGAAAAAATGATAAGATACATAAATGCAAATGTTACTGGGATATTGTTCATCAAATATTCTCTCTCTCTACCTCGCTTATTCTACTAATTACTCAATTAAGAACGTTTACTTTGTTAACTTCCATTTCAATCCCTTAAGTTTATCTCTCTACGTAAGCTATAAGCTAATTTTTACATCTTGATCTCTTTTGGTTTTATACTTTGAAGGCTTCCAGAATTTTCAAGAACAAACTTAAATGTCCATTTAGAAAATGTTCTACTAATTCTATCTGGAATGTTCTTAAGTTTGTTTATAGAAGAGTGATTTGTCTTTAGAGACAAATAAAATTATTAAAATAGATTAGAATTTAAATGCACCAGGTATGAAATATAAATTAAAGCTAACAAAATTGATCAATTTAATAGTTAAGCTCTATCTAAAGATTTCTATCAGCAATTTCTGAAGTTCTATGTCAAAAAAAGAGTATTTAAAACCTTCTATGTCATTCTCCATGCTCATTTGTATATGGATATTTTAATGCTTAGACACTTGAAATAACCAATAAACGTAAATGGTTCACGGAGAAAAAAATTCTGGTAAAATTATCGTACTGTATGGTAATGACGTTTTTGGTGAAAAAAAACAACTTAATTCTGATAATAAAAACCGAAATATACGGTATTTAAACCATTCGTTTGGTAATTTTCCGTTCGTAGGGTAACAGTTTTCTGGAAATTCTGGTTTTCAAAATTAAAGTTCTTATAACCACACATTTAATAAAAAATACAAAACTGAAAATTTTTATAATTTTTACAAAGTTTAACCGAATAAACGGCTTTTATACCACGCTCCAAGGTATTATGATTACCAAATTTTACCATATTTACCAAACTTTATTATTAACATATGATACTAGCATATTATATTTTATGTATTATAAAACCAGATTTTATTTATTTTATTGTTAATTTTATTAAAATCATTACCAATGCCTTTCGGTAAAAATTATAAAATTTTTTGGTGTTTCCATGGAGCTAGAAATACTGTAAATTTTGCCATATTCTGGTAGTTTTAACCATGTTTCTTTTCCCCAGTGTTTTTTGTATAAATATTTTTCAAACTTAGAAATGTCTAAAAAAATGGCGAATCGTTGCACCGCGTTTAACGTTTTAATTTTTTTTTCCTAGCAAAAAATAACGATTCACCGGTTTCGCCTTATTTTGCCTCTTTAATTTTCGCCTTTTCAAAACAAATTCAAAGAAAGCACAGGTGAAATGCAACTTTCATTTGCGGGAGAGTTTTGATAGAATTGTTTGATCACACCTGCAATAAAGCATAATAAAGACAGGATATTGAATTCCTCCCCCTCTTTTTTTTATTTTAGTTTCTTTGTTATAGCAATATCTAATTTTAGTGAGACGGCTATCGCAAAAACTATCTGCTATTTTTCTATAAGTATATAATACGCCTTGAAATAAATTGTTCCCATAACTTATTTAATATTTATTAACAAAAGTACTGTTCTTTTAATAAGTGATACCTACCTAAACTTAAAAGAAAAAAATACCAGTAAAAGATGCAAAAGAATTAAAAAAACAGAGTTGGAAGAAACGAATGTGTCCTAATTATTTATCAATTATAATTTTTTTAATTTAAGTTTAAAATTTTATTTTGTAGATATTTTGTAGATATATATTTTAAAAAAATATGAGTTATGCACTTTGAATTTTTTTTTGGTATTTATTGATTTTTTTTTAAGCTTTGTACTTTAGTTTAAAAATTAACAAGAAAATTTTTTTCAAAACAATAGAATAATTTTTTATCAGTGTTAATATTAGCCCTGAATGAACTAAATATTTGCTAATCAAACTAAAATCTTTCCCCATTTTTGCGAAATTAGGATGCTATCAGAACACTTTGTGAATGGTAATTTCATCACTTGTCCATATTGTAATAAAATTTTAATATTATTCAACCATGACATGTTGGCGATTGCAAGTGTGCCTAAAGCGAACCGGAACAGTTTAGTTCAGTGTTTTAGGGGAAGAAGTTACTATACTTGCTCCTTAATATAATGAAAACGATTAAGAAACAGCTAGAACTTTGCCCTACAGAAATAAACAATCATTGTCATAAGACAGAGGGCATGGTACGGGTCTCCCATCAGTTAAGGTGTCAAAACTATGAGTTAGGTACACTGGTAGAATTTATTTCAGCGATTCAGGGAAAGATAGTTAAAAAAGTCGAAGCAAAAGAGAGACAGATACGAGGGTTGCTATTTCTGGCCTTGGCAACAGTAAGTGTTGCTAGGCGACCGCAGACGATTTTAATCGAAAACACCCCTCTAAAAATTATGGTCA